CTGCACAGAGACTGGGAAATTAGGGAACAAGGTTTTTATCATTTTCATAACTGGCTTAGACCAATCATGATCTATAATTTGAGGACAGGCTTCTTGCTTTTCTAAACAAAGTTAGAGTTCTATTTGCAATAAAGTAGGGGGCGAAGGGCTTTAGGTAAGCATTTAATGAAATTTGCCACATACAATCACCACTGCCATCTTTTTTCTTCTGAGGAGAAGTCAGTGTGGAATTTCCCTCAAACGTGTTCAGTCCTGGTCCCTAGATTCTTAGGTGTATTGGGGACACAATACCCCAAACTGGATGGATTGTCTGAATGTGACAAACACGCTGTGATGGTCAGTCAGATCGCTGCCACCTACATTTCTGAGGATCCCTCCCTCCACCAGCAACCTTTTAGCTGTTGAGGGATGTTCTTTCCGTACAAACAGACTTTAACCTGGTCCTGTTCTGCCTCAGACCCCTAATACCAAGTTCTTTCCCAGGAGAAAGAGGCATTTTCATCTCTAGCAACCATGGCGATTAAAGTGGTTTAGGACGTTTGGTTTCCTTTTTTTCAAGCTCTGGAGCAACTCAGAAGTTGGACTGTTTTGGCAAAATTTAGGAAGTGTTTTTAAGGCAGGGACTTTTCAAATGTCAAAAGGAAAAATACAAAAGCTCAAAAGGACCACTGAAGAAATGAGATTACTGATTAAAACAAACCAAAGAGTAACAAATGGCTGCCTGTTGTTAGAAAGAGTTCCCTTTATTAACAATAATCCAACATATTACTATTACAGAATACTAGTAATACAGTAATAATAATAGGGTTGTTTTAGCTACAGTTTTAGCTATTTCCTAGAAAGATTAAAATAAGGAATTTGTTATTTATTTTTTTATATCTTTCCCCAGATAAAACTCAAAGAGATATTCGAAACCCCTACAGAAATCAGTCTGGTCCTAGAACTCGTCACAGGAGGAGAACTGTTTGACAGGTGAGTTGGCCCTAGAAATCTCACCACAGTAAAGTTTTGCCTCCAGTCACCAAAAAATATCAAAGGAAACTTTTCCTGAAATTTTTCATCATGGTGTATCATACCAGTTAATAAATTCCACTAAAATAAATCTTAAGAGGAGTGTAGGAAGAAAGGAGAGTGATACTTGATATGATGTTGGGTGGATGAAAATCTAGGATATATAGTGAGTATAAAGAAAAGTACTATAAAATCTATTTACTTTTGCAGGCATTTACTTCCCCAATAAAAAACAGAATTTCTAAAGTCATATTAAATCCAAGCTAAATAGTAAGATTTATAAGAATATTTTTGTTAGAAAGTATTTGATGAGATTATTGAAAAGATAAACATGTATTCTCTATTATGATCCAAAAGCTCATAAAAATCAATACTCCCAAATAATTATTTTTAGGCCTACTTTCTCTATTAGGCTGAGTAAGAGTTCAAAGTTGCAGCGTAAAACATATTCTGCTAAATTCAATTGTAGCCAATTTTAGTCCTCTGTTCATATGTTCATCACTCAAGGCAGAGGTTTGAGGATGGCAGGAAGTCTGCCTGGAAATCGGGTAGAGCATAATACACTCAAACCATTTGTACAAGAGACACGGCTTTAATTTTCTGTAGCTTTCCCACATTCCCCATCTTCTCAGGAGAACTGCCTGCCTGTGTAGCCTGATGGGCTCCTGGGAGCCCTTTGCTCTGCTCATCAGGGTGATCAAAAAAGAATGAAATTGAAAGAAGACGGAGAGACTAAGTAGGTATACATTAGGAATGGTATGCACTGACGTCCAGTTCCTGTTGGTTAAAGAATGAGTTAAGAGAGAAGTGGGCTGCAGACAGGAGACAGAAGAGAGATGGAGGGCACTGCCAATATAGCAGAGTATCTATAGCACAGTAAATTCTCAATAAATATTTGCTGAATGAATGAATGAATGGGTGAACAATAGCTGCAATGAGTGGACTCAGAACAATATCTAAAGGAGAGAGGTTTAGAATATGTTGGGAGAAAAGAACTTCTACCCCAGTTCCACCCAGTTAAGTTTGCTGCCTCTTCAAGAGCTTCCAAAAGTGTTCATATTGGTTTGCAAAGCTCCTGTCTGTTTTTGATATGACCCACTGCAGATTTGGATAATCAAGTAGGAAGGAAAGAAGTGACTCAGCTCAACTGGAGTGGCATATTTATTTTTAACAGATACACAATATTGTTCATATATATGTTGAAGTTTTCTTAGAACAAGTTATGTGAATTATCAGAATTTAAAAGTCATATATTTTAACTACGCTCACTGTTTACAAATAAGTGAATCAACTTGGAAGTAAGCATCAGTAGCCTAAATATATGCTACTTGTGGCAACTTGCTGATAGGCTCACGGTTCTAAATCCTGATCAAAGGACAGATGACTCACCTTCAGTGATTCGCTTAACCTCTCCGAACCTCAGAACAGACCCGAAGTGGTTCTGTGCTACTAAGGGAGCTGCTGAGGAGACGCTCTGATCCACCATAAGGACTGTCTTGTTCTAAAGCCATCATGTTCCCACATGCTTAGTGAAGACTTTTTTAGACTAATTTATTAGAATGTTGCCGAAATTGCCAATAATGGGTCCTTTTTCAACATGTATTTGGCTGACTCTTTCATGGATATACCTTCTTTATGTACATAATAGAGTAAAGTTGGGTTCAGCTGGCTGTAGAGTCATGAGGTCTCTCTAAGAAGAATTTACATATTTCTGTGCTAATTATGGTCTATCAAAGGGAAATCTCATGTTCTTTAGTTGTAAATAGTTGCTGAACAGGATTGTCACACTAAAGCTGTCATCTACCAATAGCACTTACCTATCTACCTCTATTTGTTCTTATTATTTTGGAATCAGGGGTCCCTTTTCCTCCTTCCCAACCTTTCTTCGTGAAAGAATTCTGGTTCTCTCATCTTGTAGTCTAGTTGATTTTGATGATAGAGGTTATTCAGCTCTAGATAAAAATGAAAAACTAAATGTTGATAAATTTCATTTACAGAGATAAGTGGATGAAATAGTCAGACTTAAAAGAAGACATCTAAAGAATGGCAGATAGCCAGTAAAGCACTCAACCCTCATGGTAACTCATGTGGTCTCAGATGATACACTTCCCCCAACCCCCACCCCGAATGTTGTCCATCTATCTGTTGCCGTATCTGAGATGAACTTGGTTTCTCCATTAGTTACTTAGTTCTACAGTTATCTTTAAAATTGTATCAAGCTGAAAATAAGTATATCCTGCTGAAAATAGCACCCATGTATTGCTTGCTTTCTTGAGAGTTAAAATCACAATATAGTTTCTTTTTTCCATAGGTCAAAAATGAAATTCATATAATTGTGATGATAAAAATTCATTCCTGGTCTGATGATAGCTCTAATAGTTTATAATGAATAAATAATGGAGCAGTTGATGAAGAGAAAATCATGTTAGTCCATTATAATCGAATAGTTGTATTCTATTGGGAAAAGATCTCTTCTATGGCACTTCTAAAAAATTAAAGTAAAAATCCAAGTGGAACTGCTGTTTCATGTAGAATACAAATAGTAAATTGCAAAGGACAGTGGATTTAAATTTTTGGAATAAAAATCAGTGTTGTGTCCAAGAAAATCCCCCCAAAAAACCCTGTACAATATTATGTTTATCATGGGAAAAAGAAAGCTCGCAAGGTTTCCTGTTCCATCCTTCTCAATCTAGTCTAACTAATAGAAATTTATTGAACTCTTTAAGTGGACAAGGTATGGGGTTGTTTGCCTTAAGAGTAAATTTTCAAGGTCTTTTTGGAGAGAATTACATTTAAAGGCAACAAATTTTAGCAGTATTATAGTTGCCTAATTAAATTTTTTTTAAGATTTTTTTTTCCTAATCTTTGTCTAACTCCAGTATCAAACTATCTTGTGGATTCTCAAATTGTCTTTTTTTCTTTTTCTGTTTTCTTCTTTTGTCTTGGCTTGTTCAAGTGCCATACATTATGCACAAAAGGTTTTAGAATCTGAGACTTGAAATGATACTACTTCTAGAAGAGCATATTTTCTTTTGTTCTGGCAGGCAATTAAGGTAAGGAACAGATCACTTTAATCCAGTCAGGTTTTGGGCGATTCAAAGCTGAACTTCCTGAGGGCGGATCTATTTCTTGTCCACTCTTACTCATGGAGTTTTGCTCTTTAAGGATTCCAATTTAAGGCAGAGGATTTTGGCAGGGCCCCTTTCCTTGACAGACCCTAAATGTCAACTTCTGTTCTTTCCACCCTGGAGATGGCCAGAAGCTTTGTTCTTCTCATCAGCCTGCTAAATCAGCTGCTTAGTTACAACCAGGAAATGCCTTTAAAGGGAAATCAGAGGCATCAGATGTTAAGTTTGCTTTGCTGGGATTTTCTTCTCTACTGGATCTTGGCTCCTGAAGCCTTTACTTCCTGATAACTCTCTGATGTCTTCAAATATATTTTTAAAGAAGATTTGATTTAACTTGTTTTCATTGTTCTTGACTGGAGGCTTGTCTACCCCACTGCTGCAGAGAGCAAAAAATTCAATACATATGATTTTAAAAGTTCTTTCACAGACACTAGTATGTTTTCCATTTTAATGTCAACTCTTTGGGGCAACAGTATGAAAATCTTTGCCCCCACTATACAGATGTGGAAACTGAGAATGAATGTAAATGATCTTCCCAATTAGGCAACTGGACTGTCCAACTCTGGTCCAACTCTTCCTTCTCATATGGCTTACTGTCTTTCTTATTAAATCCAGTTGATCTCTTTCAGGTCACTCCCAAGAGAATAGACTATTGTATTTACGGAGAATCTGTGATGTATTGGTTGGTCCTGTGCAAAGCTATGTATGTATTTAACTCAATCACTTTTTGAGTTTTTGAGGTATTATCTCCATTTTCTCAAGAGTATAAACTGAAAAAAATTGGTAAGTCACAAAGTCAGGCTTGCAAATCATGTCCATCTGACTATAAACATCTGTTTTTTCATTTCCCAAAACTGAAAATATTTTTTTTTTAATTACAAGTCATCAATGTGCAAGAGAAGTAGTGGTTACATTTGGGGACTATGCATTTAGTCTGTCAGTTACCTGACAGAAGTCCACTATATCGATTCTAATCACCATCTCTACTTCAGCATTTCTTGGTCTCCTACTCTTGGTGGAAATAAATGCAGTTTTCAGGACATTGTCATCAGGAAAAGATTCCAGAAATAGAACTTAAGGTTTTTCTTGCCTCACTCCATAGAGCTGCATCATGGCTGGTATTCTGGTTAACCAAAACTCAGAATATGTCTGAATTTGTGAAGACCATGTCAAAAATTAATCATTAATATAATTGTAAAAAGTGAAGATCTATGAGATCTGATTATCTAAAAAGGATAAATAGTCCCTATAATGAGACATTTTTTAGTATCTTTTGGAGTTCTGGCAGTGGCAGAACATTTACTAACCATGATCTCATTTAATCCTCATAGCAACACATATACAGGATCAGTCTTGATATATACATTATATAGACCAAATAACTGAATTAGAGAGGTCCATTAACTACCATTAGGTCACTCAGCTTTTATCAAATTTAATAATAATGACAACAATAGTAATTAAATGAGATTGGAATCAAGTACATCAGAGTCCAAAGCATATTATTATTTTTATCATGACATGCTGCTCCTGTGTAAGCAAATGCCAACAATCTTAATACTTAAAAATAAAACTTCAAATTAGTAATGTAATATTTTATCTTGCTTGAATGTCATCTTAACTTAACCATCAATATGTATATAGTTGTTTTTCGACCATATATATTTTAAATAGATCTTCTCTCTGCCATTTTATCTGGCTGCATGTGAAGAAAATATGCATGTTGATTTGGACCACACTTACAGTCTGCTTTTCCTGGAAGCCTGGCTAGGGGAGGAGAGGGCGGGAACACAGGGAAAATGGAAGCTTATTTGTTATTTGCTTATATATTAA